AAAACATCTGATTTTTTAATTAAATTAATTTACTAAGGTTGAGAAAGAACACAACCGATTTTTAATAGTATTTCTTTATTAGGATTGTGTGAATAAACATTAATCCGAATCTAGCTCTTCAATTTCGCTCATCTCTGCATTACTGCCGGAGAAGTTATGAATAATCATGCAGGTCACATACGAACATGCATCCTTTAAGTAAAAGAAAGTTTTAAATCGAGTTTCTGAACGCAACATAAAGTGACATTTGGTTGACGATTTAGGTTTTCAACCATTCATAGCCAAAGCTCATTATATGAAAAAAAAGTCAACTATTATTAATTATCAACATTTGTTATTGTTTGTTTTAAAATGTTTGGTTTTTATTCTAGAATTAGCCGAGTGCAAAAAATGTGTTCAGAGTTTTTTTTTGCAAACCGTACTTTTCAAACTACATTTGACAGATGGAGGTCATTGGCTTTCCTATTTGAATCGCATTATACTTGTGTGTCGCGATGTATCGACACCGTTCTCACTCTAACCGTACTAATAAATGTATGAAACCGATTTAACTTTTCAACAATTTAAAACTAAAAGTATTTTATCTTAGTAAATACGTATTTTGCATTTAATATTTTAAATATAAAATAATAAACTATTTTGTATTTGAAATAACAAAATACAAAAAGTATTTGCAATTAAATACATTTTATAACCTTTTTTGCACATCTCTGTAGTATTAGTAACCGTGTTGGAGATGTGGCTCCAAAGAACAATGGCACGGTAATTAATATTACCGTGACAATGGGCAAATTGCATGGACACTGCACCCACGTCCGCCACGGCTTAAACTACATTTGTTTGAAAGGTATCATAGTCATGATCATTTGTGCCAAAGCACATCAAATTCCATCCCGGGAGTCTTTAGTTATTTTAAGTTAAATAGGTACAATTCCATAGGTAAAAGTAACTATAACGAACATAATATATAAAGATATAAGGTCGAGTATATAGAACGGATATATTAATTGTTGACCACGGAGGTCGTCAATTAATATATCCGAGTCGAGTGGTTTGTACGCCGGGTTTCATGGTGTCGCTGGCTCGAGAGGTCCCGGGTTCGAATCCTGGTGGGGGCAGATGTTTGCGTGCTGAGTACGAGCATTTAAATTGATCCATAGATTTTTTATTAGCTCGTACGATTATAATGACGTACGCGATGATAATCGTGTTCCTATTTCTAAAGCGTGTTAGTTAAATATCAATGAAATAACAGGGAGCGCACAAAATGTAAGACATAGGACTGCATACGAGTAGACTAGTTGCAACGGCAACTGCAATATCACATCCTTCAACCCCCATACTAGTCCAGGCAACGAATGCTCAAAAACAGGTATAGAGGGAAATGCTTGGAACACAATTTTTGACTTCGTGACTTTGTTAGGAGGTAAACATATCAAAAGTCCCCGCCCGTAGCCCTTAAGCCGGGGGGGGGAGGGGGGCCGCATATATCTCGAAAACTATGCATCCTAGCGACATGAGACAAAAGTGAAAGCTGATTAAATTTGCTACAAGTCTTATTCAGTCAAATTTTTTGATATCTTGTATAGTTTTCGAGATATCCGCTCTTGAAAGTCTGCAATTATGGAAAAAAAAATTGTTACCATTTTTGCTCTATTTGACCGGATAACTCTTCAACAATGCACCCAAAAAATAAATGCCGGCCGTAGGGTTGTAGAGCATTAAATTATCTACAATAATAGAAACAATTGCCTTTTTTTTTATTTAAGGACAAAATTGTTAGGGTAGTAGACGTATGGGGGCGGTACGGTGGGCACTAGGCCGCGTACTCAGCCCCCACGCGCGGGCCGTCCTGCGCACGTCTGTGGGGTCCTCGCGATACCCCGGGAGACCCCTGCCGCGGAACCTCGGCAAGGCCGGGAGGCTGCTAGGTGCGGAGACGCGGAAGAATCCCTAAACGGGGATTTCGCGGCTTCGCACTAAGCAGCTTAGAGGGTGTTCGCAGGGTTTTTTAGCGGATATTATGCCGTAAAGCGCCCGTAAGGGTTACGGGGTCCTCAGTGGGCAGCCACTGCTGGGGCTCGTAAGGCTTGCGGGAGCCAGGTGTGAGGTCCATAAGTAAAAAAGAAAGTAAATTAGTGTCATTGAGAAACTGTAATTATCTAATAATAATATCTGTAATAATGATATCCGCTCTTGAAAATCTGTAATTATAGAAAAAAAAATCGCTTTACATTTATGCTCTATTTGACCGGATAACTCTCGGATAACTTTTCAACGCTGCACCGATGTCTAAATAGCACACATGCTCATTTTAGAATATGTACTTGTTGGCCCACTGACCAGGTTCTTCACACTTAATCCAGAAAATAAGTTAAAAAAAACTGTAAGAGTTAACTACTTTATGGAAAAAAGGTTATTATAAATTAGATGATTATTTAAATGATAAGATTGTCTGGTGTTGTATTGGTCCAGCTCAACACAAAAAGTAGTATTAAGAATAATTAAAATTATAAAACAGGACATTAAAAAAAATTGAGACGGTAGGGCCCTGTGCCTCTGGTTTTTTTTCGGTTCTCATTGGCTATACAGGTACGAATACGGCAGCAGTTTTAGATACAATTCACTATGACGTGCAAAAAGAGATTTGTAAAAAAATCCAATATAGTCAATTTCTTGCTCTTTTGGGGTGGGAAGAACCTTGATCCTCGTCTTCGTTTACATTTTCTTTTTCTGTGTCATCTTCTCCATCGGAACCCTGTAGGGAAACGGTCAGAGGATCCTCCTGTTCTTCTTCACCTTCGGAGTCAACTTGAGGGACCCCATTCAAGCAGTTCCCCTGGCAATTTTGGTACGCTGGGGAACATTTGAGGCTTGCTTTTTTGCAGCCTCACTTCGCGCTTGCATAGTCTTTCCTGCATCGACAGAAAATCGAAAAATCATATAATAGGTATTGTTGGTCGTGAACATGGCCCCCGGCGGTGTAGACACCTACTTATTTAGGTAACGGCCAACACTGCCAGTTTTCTTACCGGGCGACGCAGGCACCCCCTTTAGTCAATACGTCTACTACCCCCTTTTTTTTTATACGCAGGCAAAAAATACTATTTACAGACGACGGCGCCTTTAAGAGGCACACCGCCGAACGGACCTCACACCTGGCTCCCGCAAGCCTTACGAGCCCCAGCAGTGGCTGCCCACTGAGGACCCCGTAACCCTTACGGGCACTTTACGGCATAATATCCGCTAAAAAACCCTGCGAACACCCTCTAAGCTACTTAGTGCGAAGCCGCGAAATCCCCGTTTAGGGATTCTTCCGCGTCTCCGCACCTAGCAGCCTCCCGGCCTTGCCGAGGTTCCGCGGCAGGGGTCTCCCGGGGTATCGCGAGGACCCCACAGACGTGCGCAGGACGGCCCGCGCGTGGGGGCTGAGTACGCGGCCTAGTGCCCACCGTACCACCCCGATATGTCTACTACCCTAACAATTTTGTCCTTAAATAAAAAAAAGGCAATTGTTTCTATTATTGAAGATAATTTAATACTCTACAACCCTACGGCCGGCATTTATTTTTTGGGTGCATTGTTGAAGAGTTATCCGGTCAAATAGAGCAAAAATGGGAACAAATTTTTTTTCCATAATTACAGACTTTCAAGAGCGGATATCTCGAAAACTATACAAGATACCACAGGCCTTCCCTATGGATGAAATAGGGAGATTGGGCCATGACCCACCACGCGGGCCCAGTGCGGATTGGCGGGTGCTAACGACTGCAGATGCAGCCGGGACCAACGGCTTAAAGTGCCTTCCGAAGCACGGAGGAACTCGAGATAGAGATTTTTGGTCACCCATCCAATGACCGACCACTGCGGAAGTTGCTTAATTTCAACGATCGCAACCGAACGCGCTAACCACCTGTGCCATCGAGCTTCTCTATAAGGAGCTATTTAAATATGCCCGTGTGTAACCGGTCCCCATGACTTACACACAAAGGTCGTCTTTACACCTTTGTCTAAAGGACAATGGGCAAAACGCACCCAGCTCCGCCAACAATGTAATTAGTATGAATCGATAGATCTTTGAAAAACTAGCCTTTTTTATTATGGCACCAAAAAAAAATAACCTGGGGGTCAAAAGATATACACCTGGGTATGTTCTATATTAGGGGTTAAGGTTTCCGCACATAGTCCTTATAGACGACCTTTGTGTGTAAGTCATGGGGACCGGTTACACACGGGCATATTTAAATAGCTCCTTATAGAGAAGCTCGATGGCGCAGGTGGTTAGCGCGTTCGGTTGCGATCGTTGAAGTTCAGCAACTTCCGCAGTGGTCGGTCATTGGATGGGTGACCAAAAACATCTATCTCGAGTTCCTACGTGCTTCGGAAGGCACGTTAAGCCGTTGGTCCCGGCTGCATATGCAGTCGTTAGCACCCGCCAATCCGCACTGGGCCCGCGTGGTGGGTCATGGCCCAATCTCCCTATTTCATCCATAGGGAAGGCCTGTGCCCCAGCAGTGGGGACATTAATAGGCTGATGATGATGATATTTCAATAGCTAAAGAAATTCATTCAATATCAATAGTACTTTCGTTTTATAATATTAGCAATAATAAGTGAGTGAATCATATCTTACTGTACAACCAGATACAAAATACTAAACAACAAAGCCTACCGACTATCCTGCTTGCTTGCTGCTTGCACTTACTGAGACTCCTCAAAACGTCTAACAGGGTATGGGGGTTGAAGGATGTGATATTGCAGTTGCCGTTGCAACTAGTCTACTCGTATGCAGTCCTATGTCTTACATTTTGTGCGCTCCCTGTTATTTCATTGATATTTAACTAACACGCTTTAGAAATAGGAACACGATTATCATCGCGTACGTCATTATAATCGTACGAGCTAATAAAAATTCTATGGATCAATTTAAATGCTCGTACTCAGCACACAAACATCTGCCCCCACCAGGATTTGAACCCGGGACCTCTCGAGCCAGCGACACCATGAAACCCGGCGTACAAACCACTCGACTCGGATATATTAATTGACGACCTCCGTGGTCGTCAATTAATATATCCGTTCTATATACTCGTCCTTGTATCTTTAAATATTATGTTCGTTATAGTTACTATTACCTATGGAATTGTACCTATTTAACTTAAAATAACTAAAGACTCCCGGGATGGAATTTGATGCGCTTTGGCACAAATGATCATGACTATGATACCTTTCAAACAAATGTAGTTTAAGCCGTGGCGGACGTGGGTGCAGTGTCCATGCAATTTTGCCCATTGTCCTTTCAAAATATGGGCTTTGCCTTAACAGTTTTGTGTGCAATAGACGACGAAAAACAACAAAAAAGCGAATGTGGATGAAGCGTTGGTTACAAAACCGACTGATTCTCAGCCATTCAAACTTATGTCCAACTCCCTATACCTTTCGAGTAATATCTCCCACGCATTTTTTTTTGACGAACATCTTTATATGATCGCGACGTAATGTCCCATAAGCATGGGAGATCTCTATAGAGATCAATTAGTTCACTAGTAATATCGCGTTCGCGATTCTGATCTTCGGACGAATTTTTTTACATGAATACGTGCGCACCCGCTGACTGCCACAGCGCATTTATCTTTGGTCACGTGGTTGGATGTAATCCGCCGGCCAAACGGTTTTAATCCACGCCATCCAACCACGGATGTAATCACGCGCCCGTAATCCATGGACGTTTAAGGTCAAATCAAAATTTGGATTGCATCCTTCGTCTAGATGGATGGCAACGGACAAGGTCACCTTGGTTGGTACGTTGGATTACATCCGTCTGGCATATGTCTTAAACCCCTTCCACACGACACAATTTGATTGCCAATCTGATTGCCGATTTAAATGGGTACAATCTGGTCCTCCGTCTACACATACACAAGATCGTCAATTTCAGTTTTATTTGTTGCCTCTGCTGAACGGACTTGTTTGTATTAGGATGCCTCTTACCAAGAAGCAAAAAATTGGATTAATCTTGGCTCTAACTACAAAGTAGATGAGAAAAAAGAAAATGAAGACTGTGGACAAAACAATAGTTACTAAAAAAAAATCAATTGAGTCACTTAAATATAATTATACTTAAAGAGTAATATTTTTATCAATATTTTTCCACTTATTCCGCAAAATCTCTAAGGAATTATGCCTTGCTTGTTTATTTTTATATAATGGGTTAGACACATCCCAAAGGCATGACAAGTCTTTTTATATATCTAAAATCTCCTCCATTACTTCCCGTTCAGATAGAATAGACATAATATTGTCGTCATGTTGCTCCTCTTCTTCTCAAAAGACAAGTCAACGCACACACCCGCTCTGAACGCCGCTTGCACAGTGACTACGTTAAAAAATTGGCCAGTTAGCGTCCACACCACCCAATTTGATTGGGCAATCCCGAATCGGGCGATACCGACCATCCAATGACCTTCAATTTCATATTTCCGTCCACACAACACAATTCTAATCAAATTGGACGTAAAATTGTATCGTGTGGAAGCCACTTTAAGCTCGCTGGTTGTCCGATCAGTGGGGCTGAGTGGCCCACAACAAAAAATATTGGTTAACTTAGCCCGTAGGCTCAGTGTCCTGTAGACTCAGTTGACCATGAAGGGAGTTATTTTATTATTATTTGCCTCCAATGGCAACCCCTGCGGGGGCGATTGCGAATATACGGACTTGGTCTGCAGCAGCTGTATTTCTGCGTCAGCTATTTCAAGGGAGGAAGGGTTGCAAATCATAAGTGGCCTAAGGCGCCAGATTTTAAAATACATACCTGATCGCTATCCTGCCCTACTCACCTCTAAATTCGAGCTTGGCCCAAAATAATACTATAATACTACTCCATGTCAAAAATAACATTATTTTACAAAGTGCCCGTCTTGATGACTACCATCCACACAAACAAGATCAATAATTTCAATTATTTATTAGTTTAAGGCTAACATAAAATTACAAAAATATTTTAAAATTATGAAGTAGATCCTTATCTGCAACATGTAGGTATTTGATAATATAATCAGTAATTAATTAGTTAATGCATATTACCATTGGGTGCAAAGTGTATGTTACAATGGCAAAACCAATAAAACTAGGCTTTTAAAAAAACTCCATTGTTTTTTTTAAGATTATTAAATATGATATGATTAACGGATTAATGGGTTGTGAAGGACTTTATACAGGATGCATGACTATTTTTCAACCTTTTTTTATAATTTTAATTCTTTATTTATTCTAATTCTGTCATTCACATGTAAGGATATGTATTTTGGACTTAACCTTCTTATGAATGGAACATAATGCATGTTATGTATTGCAAAGAACACATATTATTACATGTGAGATGTGACTACCATACAATAAAATCAATCAATTTAAATGCACTTTATAACATATTTGAGATTGCTTTAAATTATTATGAGAAGTATTGGAGTCACAAGTGCTTATATCACTACTGCCAACTTTATTTATGGAAACAAGCAGAAGATTAGTCTGTCATATTAATCCATTCTGAAACCATTGACTGCGTGTACCTATCAGCTCTGCCAAGAAAACCCATTAAATTATACAGACAATATAACTTAATTACAAAGTAGATCATGTGAGTAGTAAGTAGCAATTACCAAGTTTAAGGGACTTTTTAAAATACTTACCTACATAATTGGAATCTCTAGTTTTAAATTAATTGTTATTTATTGATTTAGTCATTGAGACATAATAAATGTACTTGTCTCTTTGATTAAATTGTTAGCCCATGTTTAACTCTGAGTGGCAGAAGAACAGTGATTTCATATTCAAAATATTTATAATACAAATGCTGAGACAACTGCCTTCCTAATAATTAAGGCACATATTTAAATAATCATCAATAAATACTAAAAACCTAACCTTGTATTTTTAGGTAATAATTTATTATTTTTGAGGGTCATTTAAATATTTCCAATAATTAAATTGAGTCCAGACCAAAAGTAAGTATACAAATGTTTTTTAACAGCAATAAGTGCCTATTCTTTGCAAGTTGCTTTTGGGGACCCTTTTGGTAAAATGGCAACATTGCAAATCTTTTCAAGTGTGTTCACTATGTGTGGCAATTATGATCACAAAAGTACTAAATTAAAAATGAGATGGAATCAAGAAAGATGTGACAATGAACCCAAATTTTGTCTGATCTTCAGAAAATGGTTTGTATGCAGATGAAATGCAATGTATCGATTTTAGAAAACTCTGACTATGGGTCAAAACAAGAAAGAATGCATGATAAGAATGCTAGATGTTTAAAAATAAAGAAAAATTTCATAGAAAAAAGTACACGCGGGCCAGGCAGCAGACGGGACTCGACCCCGCACTCTCCGCTACGTCCGCGGATGCACTGACCATTTTGCCACCACTGCCCTGATGGCCGTGTCAGATTCTTCTTAATAATGTAATGTTTAATTTTTTCAAACTCATTACTGTAAAGGTAGTTCTTGAAACACCAAATGAACATGTTATGTAATCAAAAGTTAATTTGAGAGGGTGCCACCTTATAGAATGCGTAAAATGTCCATTTCAATCAAACATCATGTCAAAACAATTAATAAAATTTATGAATGGAACATATTTTAGATGTTTCATCCAATTTCGCCATTTTAGACCCACTAATGGATCTATAGTCCTATTTGCTAACTGCTTTTGACAGACGTAAGTGATAATCACCAAGCTATTTAGTGATTCACTACTGCTTTATTGTAACAAAACTAAGATGACTTGTTCTGAAAAGCATTGCATTTTTCTCTTTATTTACTCACTGTAAATGTCAAAAAAAAGTTAGTGAATAGGCTAGCTAGTCCACACTAATAAAATACAATATCTTGAACATGTAAGTCTTGCATATAAGTCATCTGGATCTGGATAAATTACTAGATCATTTCACTCCTATATTATCGCTACAAACTTTTCTTTACCAGATGACTTCATTAATTTCTGATGAATTCATAAATTGTTGGCTAATGTTTGGGTTGTTTTTTTTTAATATTCAAATTATAAAAAAAAATGGTTTTTATTTAAAAAATGTAGCATTCATGTATTTAAAATAAAGTGAATTTGCTATCCCCAGGCAAAACCAAGTTATAATAAGACCTTGTAACAAATTAACTTCCCATTATTTTACAACATTTAAAGCTAATTTTGAAATTAAATCTCTAATGCATTTTAGTCTGTTTATTAATGCACACACAGCACTGTTCTTACAATGGTGTAGATACTGGCATGATTCTCTAAACTTAAAACTAAATTTAACATTATTCTTTTTTCTTTTCTATATATTCTATTCTGTATACAGAATGACAAGGATAGACTTGTCAAATTAAGTGTAGGTTTAGAGAATCATGTCAAAATAAGACACCAATATTGATATAATAAATTAGTCTGATTATTTTTAAAAACCGTCTTAATGTTGATAATCCAAAAAAAAAATTTATTTGAATAAACATTTTCAAACAAATCAGCTTATTCAACATACTTTGAATGAGTGATTGGTATCTCATCTTGATTTTTTAGTTGTTTATTTGGTTTTGACTTGTAGACTGGTGTTATAGTCGAATGGATATACAAATACCAATGCTCGGTCCATATTCTGTACAAAAAGTAGGCCGGCCTCCTGCCACTCAGTGAGGTAACTGATATAAATGTGTCCAGTTTTACCAATTTACTCAGTTGCAGCCATGGCACGTGCCTGTGCTCGAACTCGTTTGTCATACTCTAGCCGATTTTGACTGAAATTGTGAAAGATATTAATTTAACATGAGGCAATTAAATATAGAGGGCCAAGCATAAATTTTGATCGATCTGTAAATGTACTGTCATCATCAAATTTTGTATGGAAGGAGCCGGTTTGTTCATACATCTGGTAGGGGAGCTGCTTAGTTTTCCTAGAAACTAAAAAAGATTATACAGATTACAGAGCTGTCAAAGTTTGTGCTTGGGCCTCAGACAATTAAAATAAGCATTACAGATGGCTATTGCTATTTTTGCTAGCAGTTTAGACCTTTTGAGGAATGAAAAACAGACTGCTGTCAAAGTTAGTTTAGTCATATAAAAATAGTGAAGTGTCGGCATAACACTTGACACTTGGTTTGACTTAGAAGATCATGTAAAAGGTTACATTTAGAGCATGAACCTACTGATTTTAAATTTATACGAAATATCAATACAAATTAGTTTTGCTGAGATCTTTAAACTCACCAATAAATTGTGTAAGCTTCAGCCTGAGCAGGATCTTTGACATTAGGTTCATTTAAAAGATCTTGAATGCCGAGCAGAATTTGTTTGATGGTTATAGCAGGACGCCAGTCCTTTTCCTCATCTAACAGGGATAGACATACTGTTCCAGATGGATAAACATTTGGGTGGAATAAAGGTGGTTCAAATTTACATTTTGGTGGGCTTGAGGGGTAGTCATCTTTAAAAATCATACGTAGCTTGTATAATCCACCTTCCCATGGAGTCTGAAACAGGTAAACCAACTTAATGACATGCAAATCTACTATAACTTATTTTACAAAATCAACTTCACTGGTCTCGTTTTAAGATACAACGTGGACAACATTCAAGATCATTAGCAACAACTATGGTAACTTTCTAGAATAACACTGGTACTAACCCCTTTTTTTCCCGGTATAGCGCACTCCCATGTCATCAAATTAAGTGATCCATCGGGGTTTTTCATAGGTCGAGCAACAAAACCCTAAAAAACAAAGGTATTTTTTTATCGAAAGCAACTTCAGCGTCACATTGATCATTGTTTTGTCCAGCACTTACAAAGGGATGATCCTTGCGCCAAGCTTTTCTCTCTTCGGCTAGACGTGCACTCGCTATACCAGACATTTTCTAAAACAATGGAAACAATTTGATCGTTATTGAAGTATAGGATATCGTTTTTCAATTTATTGAACAGCCACTGATTTTAAACTTACAAGAGAAAATAAATATATTCTAAAGCGCGAACTAAGCTTCCCACGATGCGTCAGTTAGCAAAAAATCACAAAATGATTTTTCTAAAAATCGGTTAGGGATGCCAAATTCGATTTTTTTGGAAAACCGATTAATGGCCATGCGATTAATCGATTTGAATAAAATGAACTATAGCAGCGGCAGGCACGCTATGATGTCCGTTTTGACGTTATTTGCCCATGAACTGGTCATTTGAAAGAATTTGTAGATTGAGTACATTAAATGACATTTAATTTAATGTACTATTTCCATATTATTGTCATTAAGAAGCATAATTATTATTAGTGCACTTATTCGCCACATAAATCGGCATTTTTATTTTTCGAAAATCAAAATGTATAAACATGAAACAAATTGATAACAAATTCATTATCATCATAGCGTATGGCCGATGGAACATTTTGAATGGATTTAGACAAGTAAACGAGCAAACCAAGCAAAGAAAGTTAGGAAAGATAGATTTTCGAGTTTGTAAGTATACAAAAGTGCAGCACAAATGTCAGTAATCTGTGTAAAGATTACTTGCTCAGTGAATCTATGCATCCTGTTGTGCCAGCCCGGCACATGGCCCCTGATGCTGATTATCAATTTTACAAACGGCTAACATGAAGAGCTAAGTGAAGTATTGGCAAAACTTTTTAATGCCGTCACTACACATGGCTATTCATGTTTGCTATTTGTAACTAAACAACAGTCTCTCCTTTTCATTCTTTAAAGAATATGATAAGGACAAGTGCTTGCTGTCAAATTGACAACTGAATACGAATAGCCATCAGGGCGCAGACCAAGAATCTTGGTCCTAGCATCAGGGCTAGGGGTGTACACTTAAAAAATATATCGATTCATGTATTCGATATAAAATATCGGAAAGAGATATCGATGTTTTTCGATATATCGTTTGAAAATATCGATATTTTTTCCAATATCGAATATTTTTCATAAGTTTCATTTACTATGAGTATTACTTTAATAGAATTATAGATACTACTACGACGGTGATGAGATGATTTTTATTTAAGTAAGTGAAACACTAAAAATTCATAGTCGAAATATTTTATTACAATAATACCCATTTAAGACCAATGTTCTTTAGGTAGCCTTTGAAGTCGATTCTGGCATGATTCTCTAAAGCTAAACTTAAATTTGACAACAGTGCATCCTTGTGCTTCTCTATGCAGAATGACAAGGAGAGACTGATGATAAATTTAGTTTTAAGTTTAGAAAATCACGCCAGAATCGACATCTTTAAAAGGTTACTTAGTCTTTTGCCTTTCATTCTGGTTTTTGTTGGTAGACTATTTGAACAGCCTTTGAAAAATTTTTTTTAGATCTTGCCTGTTTTGTATTAGATTGATTCGAATCAATTTTTAAAAAAAATAAATTGTTAAGGTTTCTTAATAACACAAATAGTGAGTTAAAGGTGGAGAAAATTTTCGAAAAAAAATGGATGCTTGTAACTTATGTACGTGCGTGAGAAGTTATACTTCTTTAGCATCATTAAAAATATTTTTTAATTGCATGCAAATAATTAATAATTACTATAAAATAATAAAAGGACTGGAAAAGGATAGTTAACACAGTCAATTAAGTTCAGTTTTAATTTGAAAAATTAAATAAATATTCAAAATATTCAATTAAAATCACTACTGAATTTAAGTTATTAGTCCATATGTAATTAGCACTTGTAAGTAACTAAAACACGTTGTGTCTATATAGAAACTAGAAACATGTGGATAAATATTATAATATGAAAACAGTGATCAGAGGCGACGAGCGTGCCAACATTGTTTTTGACAACGCGATCATCTTATGGAGCTCCGTGGATCGTTCAAAGTACCTTTCGAACAGATGTCTAATAATGGTGGATTAGTAACCACTAAGTGGTTAATAATCCACCATTATTAGACACTAACATTCATAACGCGCCCGCGGCCAACTTCATGGTGTTACTATTGTGTTACAGTGATGCGCGCGCATCTTAAAATTTCACTCTCATCATTTTTTCATAACGCGCCCGCGGCTAACTTCATTATGTTACTTTTGTGTTACAGTGATGCGCGCGCATCTTAAAATTTCACTCTCATAATTTTTTCATAACGCGGCTAAAGAAGTATAACTTCAAAAACTTTTTTGCAGAAATATAATCTTAATCGTTTTCTGAAATAGCTAATATAGTTTCTTAGGTAACTCAAAATTCACGGTGTATTATGTAAACAGGACACCACTATTACCAATAAAACGGAATGAGTGAGAGAAAGAGAACGGAGGCCTTTTATCCCTTTCAAATAGAATGACCCTAGCTTTAATTTAAGGTGAAACCGCACTATAGTGACACTGCAGCGAAGAGGCGCGTAGCGGCATCGGAGCGGCGCGTCAAGAAAAATATTTTTTCTACTGTTTCTTATGAAATAAAACGCATTATAGCGGTACTGCAGTGAAGCGGCGTGAGCGCCGCGCGACATAGCTCGCGGCGGCTGAGACGCGCGGTGCGACCAGTTAGTTCAAGTTGTAACGTATCGAGCGAATGACGCCACATATAGTGGACGACGAAAAATTTATTCTTGTTAGTAATTATCCGGAATTATATGATTTAGAAAACGAAAACTATATGGATCATGTGAGAAAAATCAATATATGGAACGAAATAAGTACATTAATAGGTGTAACTAAGTAAATTCATACTTTTTTGTGTTAATAATTATGTTTATTTAACAAAGTTTAACAAACATCCCTTAAGCATGTTTTATTGTAATAATGTAATAGGAGATGGAATAGGAATGTAATTATTCCGTCCATCTTGTTCGTTGGGTAACCAAGAAATAAAACAAAATGTCGCTCACTGTAGCGCCGCTGCAGTACAGTGCAGCTTGGTAATGCCGCGCCGCTCCGATGCCTCTCCGCTGTAGTGTCACTCTAGTGCGGTTTCACCTTTATGGGGATGGAAATATTAAAACATATAAGGAAAAGTCATGCATGCAGAAGAAGGGGTAGATAAAAGATACCGTCATGAAGCTAAAGCGCGTGGAAGGCATATTGTTTTGTTGAATTTTTATTTTTTGGGAAATGTTACTGGCATTATGATCTATAAATTCAATATATATCCCGATTCTGGTATGTACATGATACATTTCAATGACATTCATTTTGCCTTGTCCTTTTACTTTGGTTTTATTGTCATTATCAGTCAGCGTTAGTTTTTATAAATATCGGTCGATGGTTTTTCTTAATATATCGATATATCAAATAAAAAATATATTTGTCAAAACACCGAAACAATCGATATATCGTGTGGTAAATATCAAATAAATTCAATGTGTCGATATTAAATGAATATCCCTAATCAGGGCCATGTGTAGTGCCGGCTTAAATATAAAGTGCCGGCACGGCGGGATGGACAGATTCACTGAGCAAGTTCGAAAAGCCATCTTCTTTCTTTTTCAAACTAGACCATAGAGTAACTTTGTATATAGGGAAACTAGACCTATCATTCATCTATGCTTGTCACTTTCTTTTCTTTGCTTGGTTTGCTCTTGTATTTATTAACTTCTCATAATCCATTCAATAAATCAGTGAAACGTTATCTTAAAAAAGATTATAGCGTCTCGATACGATAAATATAACAAAAACGATGGCGGATGAAGAGCAAGATCCGAAAGAATACAGATGGGAGACAGGATATGAGAAAACATGGTAAATTTGTTATTTAATTATTCCCTTTAGTATGGAATAGGCGCTAACGATTGTAGACCAACGGTGTACATGTCTTCCGAAACATGGAAGAGCTTGGGATAATAAGTATTTTTGGTCACCCGTACTGGTCATACTTCAACTATTAAGACCCAACATGCTCACCACACACCACTGAGTCGCTCCAAATAATATTTACATCAAGGACTTTCCATAATAATATACCACACAGAATGAGGATTCTTTGTTTTTGGTTTTTAAAGGAACATTTGTTTTTTAGTCTTAAATAAAAATATATTTATTGTTTTATAGTCATTAATAGTTTTTCCAATAAACACTTCCAATTTATAAAGAAGAAAATATAAATATATTTAGAAATTCATATACCACTTTCATAATGCTACATTGAAGCATTATATCTGCAATGTTGATGATTTTGGTGAACAGGGAGGCCATCAAAGAAGACGAAGATGGTTTGGTGGAAGGCTTGGTTGCAGAGTTTGCCATGAAAGCAGCTCGGAAGACAGTTGCACCTAAGCGAGGACCAATAAGGCTTGGGATGATGAGACACTTACTAGTTGCTGTAGACTGTTCTGAATCTATGAATTCACAAGATTTAAAACCAACAAGATTTGTGTGTACACTTAAAGTAAGTAATTGACACTACAAATTTCCAATAATATAATGTCTTTCATTGAAAGTGAAACACAATGTGAATTTAAATATATGATAATTATTTACTTTTATTTGATTTTCAGCTCCTTGAAAAGTTTGTTGAAGAATTCTTTGATCAGAATCCATTGAGTCAGTTAAGTATTATTGCTATGAAAAACAAGAGAGCTGAAAAAATTACAGAATTGTCAGGAAATGTCAGGAAACACATAAAGTCAGTTCAAGGGTATGTCAATTTTTGTTAGGGGAAGCAACATCCATGTTAAAAAGGCCACAGTGAACTAATACTATTTTAGCCAAAAGGTGTTGTGTTTCCGTTGGTACAAAACACTGGTTTTCAGATTTTGGGGTAGTTTATCATATTAAATATTCAATAGCACTAGGGATGATGACTAACTTTTTTACTTCATCTATCAGGTAGATTATTAAAATTTTGCTCACATGTTTTATCTTTTATCATAAAATCAAAACATTAAAGAGGTTGATTGACAGATTTAAAATGTTGCATGACATCATGTCTTGGTACAATTTTTACTTGGAAGTGACATCATGCACTCCCATGCCCAAACTTTGACACAATTGAACTTTGTAAATTTTTGGATTTATATTTTTAATTCAACTCTGTCAGTTCTAAATCCATTTTGTCTACTTTGCAATAATAATCCCTATTGTATTTTAATGTTCTTGATGGTTTATTATTATTATCTTCAGGTAATTGTTTCAGTTTGACTAATATGGCCTTGACTGGTGAACCATCCTTACAAAATACTCTAGAGTTAGCT